TGTGGAGTGACTACCACTCACAGGATGAGTGTGAAGTGACTACCACTCACAGGACGAGTGTGGAGTGACTACCACTCACAGGATGAGTGTGGAGTGACTACCACTCACAGGATGGGTGTGGAGTGACTACCACTCACAGGATGAGTGTGGAGTGACTACCACTCACAGGACTAGTGTGGAGTGACTACCACTCACAGGATGAGTGTGGAGTGACTACCACTCACAGGATGAGTGTGCAGTGACTACCACTCACAGGATGAGTGTGGATTGACTACCACTCACAGGATGAGTGTGGAGTGACTACCACTCACAGGATGAGTGTGCAGTGACTACCACTCACAGGATGAGTGTGGAGTGACTACCACTCACAGGATGAGTGTGGAGTGACTACCACTCACAGGATGAGTGTGGAGTGACTACCACTCACAGGATGAGTGTGGAGTGACTACCACTCACAGGATGAGTGTGCAATGACTACCACTCACAGGATGAGTGTGCAGTGACTACCACTCACAGGATGAGTGTGGAGTGACTACCACTCACAGGATGAGTGTGGAGTGACTACCACTCACAGGATGAGTGTGGAGTGACTACCACTCACAGGATGAGTGTGGACTGACTACCACTCACAGGATGAGTGTGCAATGACTACCACTCACAGGATGAGTGTGCAGTGACTACCACTCACAGGATGAGTGTGGAGTGACTACCACTCACAGGATGAGTGTGGAGTGACTACCACTCACAGGATGAGTGTGGAGTGACTACCACTCACAGGACGAGTGTGCAATGACTACCACTCACAGGATGAGTGTGGAGTGACTACCACTCACAGGATGAGTGTGGAGTGACTACAACTCACAGGATGAGTGTGGAGTGACTACCACTCACAGGATGAGTGTGGAGTGACTACCACTCACAGGATGAGTGTGGAGTGACTACCACTCACAGGACGAGTGTGCAGTGACTACCACTCACAGGATGAGTGTGGAGTGACTACCACTCACAGGATGAGTGTGGAGTGACTTTCCATCACAGGATGAGTGTGCAGTGACTACCACTCACAGGATGAGTGTGGAGTGACTACCACTCACAGGATGAGTGTGCAGTGCCTACAACTCACAGGATGAGTGTGCAGTGACTACCACTCACAGGATGGGTGTGGAGTGACTACCTCTCACAGGATGAGTGTGGAGTGACTACCACTCACAGGATGAGTGTGGAGTGACTACCACTCACAGGATGAGTGTGGAGTGACTACCACTCACAGGATGAGTGTGGAGTGACTACCACTCAGAGGATGAGTGTGGAGTGACTACCACTCACAGGATGAGTGTGCAGTGACTACCACTCACAGGATGAGTGTGCAGTGACTACTACTCACAGGATGAGTGTGGAGTGACTACCACTCACAGGATGAGTGTGCAGTGACTACCACTCACAGGATGAGTGTGCAATGACTACCACTCACAGGATGAGTGTGCAGTGACTACCACTCACAGGATGAGTGTGCAGTGACTACCACTCACAGGATGAGTGTGGAGTGACTACCACTCACAGGATGAGAGTGGAGTGACTACCACTCACAGGACGAGTGTGGAGTGACTACCACTCACAGGATGAGTGTGGAGTGACTACCACTCACAGGATGAGTGTGCAGTGACTACCACTCACAGGATGGGTGTGGAGGTGACTACCACTCAAGGATGAGTGTGGGAGTGACTACCACTCACAGGATGAGTGTGGAGTGACTACCACTCACAGGACGAGTGTGCAGTGACTACCACTCACAGGATGAGTGTGGAGTGACTACCACTCACAGGATGAGTGTGGAGTGACTACCACTCACAGGATGAGTGTGGAGTGACTACCACTCACAGGATGAGTGTGGAGTGACTACCACTCACAGGATGAGTGTGCAGTGACTACCACTCACAGGATGAGTGTGGAGTGACTACCACTCACAGGATGAGTGTGGAGTGACTACCACTCACAGGATGAGTGTGCAGTGACTACCACTCACAGGATGAGTGTGCAGTGACTACCACTCACAGGATGAGTGTGGGGTGACTACCACTCACAGGATCGGTATGGGGTGACTACCACCCACAGGATAGGTATGGGGTGACTACCACTCACAGAATGGGTATAGGGTGACCACCACTCACAGGATGGGTGTGGGGTGACTACCACCCACAGGATGGGCATGGGGTGTCTTCCACTCACAGGATGGGTATGGGGTGACTGCCACTCACAGGATGGGTATGGGTGACTACCACTCACAGGATGGGTATAGGGTGACTATCTCTCACAGGATGGGTATAGGGTGACTACCTCTCACAGGATGGGTATGGGGTGTCTACCTCTCACTGGATGGGTATGGGATGTCTTCCTCTCACAGAATGGGTATGGGGTATCTACCTCTCACAGGATGGGTATAGGGTGACTACCTCTCACAGGATGGGTATGGGGTGACTACCTCTCATGATGGGTATGGGGTGACTACCTCTCACAGGATGGGTATAGGGTGACTACCTCTCGCAGGATGTGTGTGGGGAGACTACCACTCACAGGATGGGTGTGGGATGACTACCACCCACAGGATGGGTATCGGGTGACTACCACTCACATGATGGGTATGGGGTCACTTCCACCCACAGGATGGGTATGGCTTGACTACCACTCACAGAATGGGTATGGGGTGACTACCACCCACAGAATGGGCATAGGGTGACTACCTTTCACAGGATGGGTGTGGTGTGAATATCACTCACAGGATGGGTATGGGGTAACTACCACTCTCACGATGGGTATAGGGTGATTACCTCTCACAGGATGGGTATAGGGTGACTACCTCTCACAGGATGGGTATGGGGTGTCTACCCTCACTGGATGGGTATGGGATGTCTACCTCTCACAGAATGTGTATGGGATATCGACCTCTCACATGATGGGTATTGGGTGACTACCTCTCACAGGATGGGTATGGTGTGTCTATCTCTCACAGGATAGGTATAGGTTGACTACCTCTCACAGGATGGGTATGGGGTGTCTACCTCTCACTGGATGGGTATGGGGTGTCTACCTCTCACTGGATGGGTATGGGGTGTCTACCTCTCACTGGATGGGTATGGGGTGTCTACCTCTCACTGGATGGGTATGGGGTGTCTACCTCTCACTGGATGGGTATGGGGTGTCTACCTCTCACTGGATGGGTATGGGGTGTCTACCTCTCACAGGATGGGTATGGGGTGTCTGACACCCACAGGATGGGTATGGGGTGTCTACCTCTCACAGGATGGGTATGGGGTGTCTGACACCCACAGGATGGGTATATCGGGCATTAATAAAATTATCAAAACTCTAAGTCTTCAAGAATTTCTTAAATAAAATTTTAATATGTTTTAGGGTACCTACAGTAGTCTTCATATTAACTGAAACAGTAATGAAATAAGACGTTCATTTGGAAAATTAATATTTAGTTAGAAAATACACGACAGTGATATGACAGATAATTCCTAATAACAGCAACAATTAGCTTCTCCACATTTGAACAGTCCTGATTAGAGAGCCTGAGTTTGGTTATGTCTTATAGATTCTCACTTGGGTAGAGGTCAAGAGTTTCCAGGCCAATTTAGAACTCTTAGTCAACTCTCTTCGAAGAATGTCAATATTTTTCTGGAAGTGTGGCATGGAGCAAAATCCTGGTGAAAAATGTCTTCTCCATCAGAAAAGTCTGTATTCACGAAGGGAAAGAAATGAGTTGCAAGGATTGCCTTGTATTTGTCACTGTTTATCGTTCCCGCAACAATAACAAGTCTTCCACGGCCTTTAGCAGTAAAACTACCCCAATGCGAAGAGGTTCGCCTTTGCTCCTTCTCACCACCACTGATCTGTATTCATGTACTTCAAAATGCGTCACAGCTGAAAATATAACTTTTCTCCATTCATCTATTGTTCATCCCACTGCAGCCGTTTTTCCTTCGTAGCAACAGTCAATAATTGTTTCTTTACCGGCTTCTGGAGGTTCTCTCAGCTTAAAGGAGCCTTCGTCGAATAGTTGAAGAATCAACATTTACGTCAACTGAGCCATATCTCTCTGCAGATCTTTGTTGGTTTTCTTGGGATCCTCAGAGTCCGACCAACACTTAACTTTGCTATGCTCCAATTTTCGGCGATCTGTCTGATACCGAAATCAGCATGTTTTCTAAGAGCTACAATACTTTCACGCTTCCTAGGTGTATCATCCATTATGAATTTCAGCGGTAATCATAAACTGAAGTGGAGAATTTGGCGAAACCACATTCACTCACGGAGCACACTTGCAGTAATAGCCTTATAAAACAACAGCTGTTTTGTAAGAGTAGCAAAGTAACACCATAGCTGGATGGTTGTTTTGTAAGAGTAGCAAGGTAACACCATAGCTGGATGGTTGTTTTGTAAGAGTAGCAAGGTAACACCATAGCTGGATGGTTGTTTTGTAAGAGTAGCAAGGTAACACCATAGCTGGATGGTTGTTTTGTAAGAGTAGCAAGGTAACACCATAGCTGGATGGTTGTTTTGTAAGAGTAGCAAGGTAACACCATAGCTGGATGGTTGTTTTGTAAGAGTAGCAAGGTAACACCATAGCTGGATGGTTGTTTTGTAAGAGTAGCATGGTAACACCATAGCTGGATGGTTGTTTTGTAAGAGTAGCAAGGTAACACCATAGCTGGATGGTTGCCGGAGTTAGAAGGAAACTTTTGTGTAAAGAAAGAACCCCAAATTACATTAATTAAGTCGGAGACTAAGACATATTATGAGATAATCACACAATTTACTCCTGTCCCAATAATGGGTTCTGTATCTAGATATTTGAACCTGTCCTCCATTTTTGGGGATCGAACCTGAATGCCTCCAATTCCCCAGTCGCTCTTATCACCCCTATTGTTTTGTGTTCCTTCCCATGCTCCCATTAATGTAATAATAATAGGGCTTAAATCATTGCACCTTTATTGCAGATCTGACAGACACGCCGAAGCTGGTGTTGTACCAGGAGGAAAACAGTTTAGAAGTTAGTTACTCTGACGAGGCTACCCAGGTGGAGGTAGTGGTCATCAACCCCACCGACAATACCGTCTTCGACAACCAGTTTCAGTGTACTGGGGAAGACAATCATTGCAGTGTAGTGATCACAGACGGGCTACAGAGCTCCCAGGTCACCATTCTTGTGGTCCTCCTCGATCAGGATGGCTACGCTGTCATGTCAGCCAGTGTCCCTTTTGATGGTAAGATTTTGTGTTTATCCTGACCAGGGCAGAAGGTTGCAGGAGTAACATATACCACTTACGTGTTACGTACCTCGTAGCGCAGCAATAACACGTTAGATTTACAGCCGAGAGGACCTAGGGCGAACCTTGGGAGAGGTGGGACGTATGGGAAATCTGCCTCATACCTTTTACTTATGATGTAAATGATTTACAAAACCGACAAAGTGAAGAGTGAGACACTTGTGCAACATCTGGATTTCTTTATTGTGGCTTCGTCTATCCAATGCAAAGAAAAATGGTGAAGATCAAGAGTTGAGGTGATCAGTCCCTCAGCCACGCTGAATTTCATGAGATGATTGGTGGAATTTCGGTGTTGTACGCAGACTTTATTCAAGTAATCGTTCCTACATGCATAAATGTGTTCATTGAGGCGGGTGTCGAGGTTTCTTGCTGTTTCACCAATAAAATGTCCCATTAGTTGCACTTGTGTCCTTTTACTTTATATATTGTCGGTAATTCTACCAACATATATACAATCTGTCCGAAAAACTTGGATTTAAAAAGTATTTAGGAGAAGTATTGATTTAGTAATAGAACTGTAGATGAGTGGAACTCCCAGGTAGCGTCATTGGGATACACAGATACACAGACACGATTCTGCTTTTGACTCTCGCCCTGGCAGGTCATAGCAGCTCTCCTTACTTATTCTGTCTCCCTACGATCCCCGTTGGGGAGGGGAACCTTTACCAGCGTCGTCTTCGCCTTGACTTACACGATGAGCTACGCAAATCGTGTAAAGATCAAGCCAAAAAGTGGTACCGTTGATGATTCAACGAAGCTTGTTCTTGCCACTGTTGTGCAGGAAGCATTGCAAGTGAAATTCAATGCTATTTTGTCACTGAAAGAAGCATTCATTGTTGTATGTCACGATGATGCTGAAGCAGAGAAGTTACTCACCACAGAAGCCACCACTACTCTTACTGCTCAAGGATTTACTGTTACATCCTCTCCTGCCCTCAGGGCAAGAAAATCAGTATTCCTAAAAAAATTGGACAAGATTCTGACTTCTGAATCAATTGCTGAACTCAAGTCATCCATTGAAACGCAAAATACTTGTGCTACTGTTGATAGCATTACCAAAATCCCGAATGCATCGTCTATGCTCAAGGTCACCTTTACCGACGTGAACATGGCTGCCACTGCCCTGAACGAAGGTCTTGCTGTCTACTACTACTACATCAGTCCCACCTACATAGAAGCAGAGAGATACCACTACATCCAACATTGCTGGAACTGCTATTCTTATCTTCACACCACCAAAGCATGTCCAGTAAAAGACAAGAAGTTCTGCACTACATGTGGTAGTGAGGGACACACCTTCAGTTCCTGTACCGCTGCTGCTCCAACACAACCAGCGTGTTTAAACTGCAAAAGTAATGATCACCATACACTGGCAGCAAAATGTCCTACAAGAAAGGATATTATGAAGAAACAACATGATGCAACAAAGAAAAAATCTACCAACAACACACCAACGTATGCCGCAATTGCAAAGTTACAAGTAGACACTACAAAATTACTTCAAGCATCTCAACCCGCCTCCACCACCATCACTCCTCCAACATGTGACGTAACCAAGATCCACTATTGTCCCTACTATTACGCTCACATGCAGAACATGCTGTACCTGGATCTTTAACTCTACCATCAACGAGTTATTGCATTAAATAACATGCCATCATTCACATTTCCAGCATCGCCACCTTCTGAAGAAATTCTCAAATTCACCAAAGACTTGCTTCTTCTTGCTTCTGATGACCAGAGCTTTGGTAAGATGGGTAAGGAAAAGGATGGGTAAGGAGGAAATATTGGAAAAGGTGGGAGGGGGGGAAGGTAGGATATAAAGGAAGTGGAGACTCAACCACTTTTGGTGCAAATTAAACAGGTGGTAATGTGAATTGATAAGATATACTTTAAGAGGTATAATACTAACCCATCAGAGTCACATAGATATAACAGATATATAACTACATGACTCTGAATTGGATGTAGTTTATACAAGTTGCAATTGCCTTTTTTTTTTTTTTTTTTTTTAGTTTTTTTTTTTTTTTCGCGATTCACAAACGGATATTTAAACGAACAAGAAAGTTAATGGTGGTGACCATCAATAGTCAATAGCATAAATTTTACATTAGAAAGTTAATTAAGAAGTCTCCCCATAATTTGGGGCGATGATTTTCTCATTATGCATAAAGGGTCGGTGCTACCCAATCCTCTTCATCAGGGAGGTTGCTCAAAATCATGTTCGATGGTTAATCTCTTTATGTATAAAACGACGAACCCTCTTGGAAGAGTCAGTCTTTGAGTCCTGTGAGGAGTAGTATTGATGGTGAAAACGTGGTATTTATCACTTGTATAGGATGTTCATCTACCTGGCATGTAATAGTTTCTAGCATGAATAAAATTGTTTTTTTTTTAGGGTGTCCCAAGGCGTACATTTATGGCATAATATCCTGTTGTGTGTGTAAATCTGCCATTCTTAAACTGTCTCTTCTCTCCTCCTGGTATCGGTAATAAAGCGAAAGAGCTCTATTCTGGAACCCTTTGTAACCGTAGCATGTTGGTCTTTGTTGTTAATGACATTGGGACACAAGGTATTCGAGTATAGGTCTTATTATCATTTTATAAGATGTTTTTTTGACAGTGAGGGGCTTGGATTGAATCGAAAGAGTCTGCTATGACCGACTTTGGCTGTTTTGATCTTTTTAGTTTACATGAGATGTTGATGGAGCAGCCTGTCTATTTCATATCCCAAGCATCTTGTTAGGGTTTCTAATGGCTACAGTGAACCCTGATGGAGATACCCCCTTTATCTCGATGGTTGATGCAAAACATCCCTATCGTGCAAACAGGACCTTGGTCAGGATTAGTCGTAATTCTCCCATTTCTTCTCCCAATTAGATGTTACGACGAATTCAATATTCATTTTTCTATACTCTTTATACTTATATTTTCCTGTTACTGCATTGATGAGACGACATGATAACATCATCTGCAAACAGTGTCCACAATTGTGTCATTTAAACTCTGGATGAGAAGTTCATTCACATAAAATGTGAAACAAAGTGGACTAAACAATAACCCTTGTGGGACACACGTCGGTATAAAAAGGTTCTGTCGACTTGCCATAAAGGTGGGAATGATTTTTCTTTGATTTAAGAAATTAAAATACTCTGAGAAAAGTCCAGTGATGGTCTGGTAGGTCTATGAGTTTTGTATATAAGGTAATCATGCCATAAGCTATCAAAAGCTTTATAACATCTTTGGTGGCAATTAAGGCAAGATTTGCCCTGATGTTTTAGACTTGCTACAGTGTCAAAAAAACATTTATTGCATATGGTACCCTCTATGTGTTCTAAAGCCCAATTGTTTTCAGTAAAAAAGTGATTAAACTCCATATATATTTCATCGGTTGGAAATGACTTTCTCAAGAACTTGTCCAGTGACTTCAGTAAAAAAGATAAGTCTATAGTTCCGCAGTTGGTGGATGTCTTTATTGGCTTAGCAAGAAAGATCATCCTACAGTCTTAAAAACATCTGGAAAATGTCCTGAGGCCAAGATGGCATTAAAGATATTTACCACAGGACAGTTGCAATTTCTAGGTTAGGTACTTATTTGTTTCATCATTGTTATTCCAGAGAAGGCCAGGGCTCTATTTCTCATTCATCAAAAACCTGACTTATCCTCTATAAGGTAGAGGACTAGTAAAGCGGGTGGGTATCTTCAAGAGTAGAAGTATCGATGGAAGGTAGTGTTTAGATCATCCAAGTTCTCATACCACTCCATTCATTTACTAACTGTAATGATTATTATTAAATTGACGACCTGTTATTGTGAGAGAGAATTTTCTCCCAATCATCCCCCATCAAATTAGCCTGGTCCTGGTGGAATCGTCAAGTTTAATTTCAACATCTTCATCATCCTCATCAGTGAAGGTATGAACCTAGGTAGTTAGGAGCCTTGTGCATTCCCCCTAAAATTGTCGGATCTTACTCCAAAATTTTGCTGGTTCACGTTTATATTGATTTGCTTGAAGAACTAGAAAAATTTCCATATGTCTCGTTTGTGTTGACAAATCAAGTTAATTAATTCTTGCCTTAATCGTGTAGTGTAGTATGGTGGGTGTCGCTTTGAAGATGCCTTCGACATTCTGCTTGATAATTTCTTAAAGTGTCTCTAATTTCTCTAGTAGGTTATATTGTTGTATCTCTTTGGTGGAAGCTAATTGGCAGTTGCATTTGTAGCTTCCATTTAATTCGATTGTGCAGGGACCTATTTCATCATCAAATTGCACTGGAAGGTAGATTTTGCCAAAGAACAACAATTTCATCCTCACCCAGATATGCCCTGAAGGGGTCAACTCCTAGGTGTGATAAGATTGGGTTCTTAGGAGTTACAGGTATTCAAAATGAGGAGTTTGTATAGTTGTATTATAAAGGGAATATGGTCAGATCCTGACATTACCACCAGGGAAATAAACACATGAAAGATGTCACATCCCTGGTCTGTCAGTACTATATCTGGTGTTCCTGGATGAGGTTCCAATGAACGAATTTGGAAGAATGGGCCTTGAAATGACAAGTTTATAGCTGTCAAGATATTAAAGAGTTGTTTTTCCTTTTAAGGTCACCCAGGGAATTACCAGCGCCACGTTTGACGAGGGCAGAGAGATGAACATTAAAAACTCCAAGCTAGAATTGAATGGAATATTTCTGCTGATATCCTATGTAGAGGAATTGACTCTATATATGGCTGTCACGGGGGAAAATATCCAGTTCCTATCACTATTGTCCAGAGACGTTGTCATTTCTATGCAAGAATGATATCTTCATCAACATGATTATTTTTTAAATGTATAGCCTAATTTAACCAAGATGGCTACACCACTAAAGGTCCTCTCGATTTCTCCACAGTACGTATCCACGTAATTTAATATGTGAACAACTCTTGTTGCATCTGTCTCGTTCAAAAGTATAACATCGGGATTGTAGTTTAAGAAGTTCAACCTCAAGAAGGTAAACGGTTATTAAAGAAATGTTGAACATTAATTGAAAATTGTAATCCCCATTATTATTGCTTTTTCTTCGCTCGTACACTGCGTTCTGAACCCTGCAAGTAATGTCATTGTTTGATCTACACTATACCTGCTGGACTCGTCAAGGGGAGGAGAGAACTTTTGCGTGGATGAGCTTGTGTATTAAAAATGCCATCATCTTCACTAGAGGCATATATTAATAGACTTCATTAGATA